CAAGGTCCTGTGGTGGTAAAGGGCTGGGATGTGGAGGAACACAAAGACCCGGGGGGGGGGGGGAATCATTGTGCCTGGGGAATGGGGAGAGTGGCTCAAGACAAGGTCAGCAGAGGTCAGATCAGCAGGGCGGAGGGCTGTGGTGAGGACTTTGGCTTTTACTCTGGGTGAGACAGGAACATGGGAGGGTTTCAGCGGAGAGACATGGTCTTACTCCTCCCTCTGGCTGCACGCGGAGAATCATATTTTGGAACCAAATAGACACAGGAGAGGGGTGTATTCTAAGTAGTGACTGCATATGGCCCATCTCTCCCCCCTACCCTAGACTCGACTCAGCAACTAGAACACAGTTGTCCCAAACAGACAATTGTCCCTGCCCTCATTCTAGGTGGTTTTCATAGCCCTCGCCTCATAGATGAAAACAAGTGGGATGGGACTTACTTATGGATTTATTTCTGTACCTCCACCCCCACCCCAGGCCTGGCATGGCCCTCTCTGGAGTGGTGGGTCCCCGGGAGAGCTGAGGGTGAGGTTCCAGCTGTCCCTCCCCTGGGCCCACGCCACATGGGACCAGTCGGTGCCCCCACTGTGGAGCCCAGCGTTAGATCCTTTAGACACAGTATTGATGACGCCCCAGAGAGGCGAGAAGTCCTGCCTCAGCCCTTCCCTTCCGCACGTCTTTCTCCCACCTGCCCAGAGTGATCTTTCTCAACCAGACTCTAAACAGGTCCCTCCTCAGCTGAAAATCCTGTCTTGGTTCCCAGTGTCCTTGGGGCAAAGTTCAAACTCCTCTAGGCCCTGGAGGCCCAGCAGATCTGACCTCTCAGGCTTGGCCACCCCACCCCCATCCCTGGGAGCTGCTCTCAAAGACTCTGAAGTAGGCCGAGTCTTACCTCGGGCCTTTCCCCTCGGTATTTCTTCACTTCCTCTGGGAAGTTGCCCCGACCCCCTGTCAGGTGACCCGTTTCTTGACTGTCACAGCGTCCTGTGGCCTCCCCCCATCAAAGCACACTTCCCTTTGCTTAATAATTATCTGTTTACTTTCGTCTCTCTCCCCCACCGTACGGCGAGCTACACTTTACAGGTAGAGACCCCGAGTGTTTTGCTCAGGAATGTGTCCCCAGCCCCGGGAATAGTGACTGGCACGTAGCGGGTGCTCAGTAAACATTTGCTAAGTGAAGGAACGGATGCCTTTTGCTAGATGATGCCAGATTGCTTTGCAAAAGAGGCTGTGGCATTTCACACTACCAGCAGCCACGTGAAGGTGTTCATTTCCTCGCAGCCTCACCCGAAATGTGTATAGTACTTCGTGAATCCCACGCTCTTTGCGAGGCGCCAGCCTGGCCGAGGATATTTCCGCCCCCTCCCCAAGCCTGAGGCGGAGGCGGTTTCGGAACGTCAGGTGCCCAGACCCGCGGCGGGCGGCGCCAGGGGGCGCCAGAAGCAGACGACCGTGCATCGCTGGGCAGGCGGGCGCGCGGGGTACCGAAGGGGGTCCCGCCTCGCCTGGGGCTCCCTGCGCCCGCCCCCGGCAATCCGCCGCGGGGCGATCGGAGCAGCGCCCGCGGCCGGGCCTCCGAGCGGCCCCCGCCCGGCCCCCAGCGCCACGCGGC